CCAGGTATGCTGCTTTCAGCTCCAACATATTGATATGAGATCTTCGCTCCTGTGGGAGCCAACGACCACCGGTCGTCACCCCATTCCAGGTTGCCCCCCATCCAGCTAGAGAAGCATCTGTTGAGATGGTCTGATCGAAAGGTGTTGTGCAAAGTGGCTGGCAATTGAAGGTAGCAATTTGAGGCGAAGACCACCACCGGAGTTCTCTCTGGCTCTCCTGGGATAAAGTCAACTGAAATTTCCTGTGGTGCCTGCCACAGTGCAGCCTAGTCCCAGGCCTCTCATTGCGCGTGTTTTATATTTCCGTGACGTCACCGAATGAAACGCGCGCGAGAGGCCTAGCACAAAATGTTTTCAAATCTTAACGGCCCGTTTAATGCTGTCAAATTGAAATTAGAATTGTTATTACAAAGTAACTGTTTGCAATTTACAGCAATAACCGTTATAAAGGAAGCGAGAATAATTTAAATTGGCGGATTGAAGCTTATTATAATCATAAACATGTACGTACGGACTCGAGTTTACTTGATAGTCGATAGCGTTGACAGCGAATGACATTGAAACCTTTGTATGAATATTTCGAAGTCCTGGCAGTATAATTAATATCCCGTAGCTTATTTCAAGCAAATATTTGACTAGCGACGTCGAACAAGGCCAGTTAACCGCGTCGTAGATGGTAAACTGACCTCAATACAGAAAGTGGGGACAAAAAGTCCCCACTTTAGCCAAAATACAAAACATTTTGTTCTAGGTTAAGAGGCCTAGGGACTAGGCTGGCCACAGTGGTAAATGGCTGTGGCCTGGTCACGTTGAAGGCTGCGATAAAACAGTGGTGCCCTCCAGACATTCGTCTGAGCAGCATGACTCATCCTGCCAACTAGAGAAGACAGCCTCTCCAGGGATGTTTGTTTTGTCTCTAGAATCTGTTTTGCTTCTTGAACAATTTGCTCTAGTTTCTGTGGTGGGAGTGAAATTGACATCTCCACTGTGTTCAGAACTCACCAGTTTCTGAATTGCGTGAGATGAACATTTCTCCTGTTTGATTGTAAACCCCAGGTTCTGTAGAAGACTGATGACCTGGTGGAAAATCTTGAGCAGAACACCTTTGTTCGAGTGCAGCAGTAGTATATCGTCCAGGTAGACGACTAGACGGATTCCTAATGAACGAAGCAGGGCAACTACAGGTTTCAGGAGCTTGGCGAAGGCCCAAGGGGCCGCTGAGAGACCGAATGGGAGGCAACCGAACTCGTATAGAGTCCCTTGGTATAAGAAGCGAAGGTACTGGCGGTGTCCTAGGTGAATGGGCACAGTATAATAGGCGTCTTTTAAGCCTATCTTCATCAGGTAATCTCCTGGCTGGATTAAAGCCCTCACCTCTCCATCTTGAATGGTTGAGATTCCACAAATCGGTTCAGAGCTCGGAGATTTATAACTGGCAGGTATTGACCTACACTGCTCTCCTTCTCGACTAGATATAGAGTGGACACAAACTGTCCCACCACTGGTTGAACTTGTTTGATGGCTCCCTTGGTAAGAAGCTCCTTGACTGCATTGCTCATTAAGTGTTGTTGTGATGACCGTGGGCGAGTTTCGCGGATTCTCCACTGGTAGGGAGAATGAGTTAAGGGTATTTTGTATCCCTGAATAGTTTGTAGGACCCAAGGGTCCTGAGTTATCTTTTTCCAGTTCTCCAAGCAACGAATAAGACGACCTGCCGCCAATGGAGAACAATGTTGTCTGTCTATTAACACAGGAAACAGATAGTCAGCTTGGTTTGCTTGCTGATGCTGATTCTCCTCGCGCTCCTTGGGTTTTAAATCGTTTTGCACCTGCCCGTCTGGTACTTTGTTCACGATGGTTATAGTTCCATTGGTGTCTCCTTCCACCTGATGTGATGGTGGAAGGTGAGCGCCCTCGAAAAGGCTGACGAAATAGTATGAATATCTTTGATGAGGAAGGTCGATCTGGTGGTGTGCTTATCAAACTCTTGTTGGTAGTGTTATGGTTATGCTCATCTCTAATGCGGTCATGAAAACGATCTGGGAACAGGTGTTGATCCGAGTACGTTTCCCAACTTCAGTTAAATATGGTGAAAACCGATGCTGTCGCCAGGAATTCAGGCGAACATTAGCATTTCCAAGCAGCACCAGAGCGTCTTCAAGCATACCTTTAATCAGGTCAGAGTCTGGCCCCTCCTCATCCTCCTCCATGGGGCGGTCAAGAGCAGTGAGGGCTGCTAGAATGGGTCGTGCAGTAAGAAGGAAAGCCCCTTGCTTCTCTGCTAAGGCATCATCAAAGGTGAAGACATCCTTGGTTTTGTGGTACCCATGTCTCTTCCGTATCTCTTCTTTCATGCCTGCCTCCATGGTGGAGGCAGTTGAAAGGAATTCGGTACCCGTTAAGGGGGGTAATTCTCTAAGAGCCCCTGCCAGGTCTCCTTGGGAAGAGATTTGGAGAAGGCTTGGATGGTCAGTTCTCGGAGGTCTGTGGCAAGATCTGCCTGCGGGTCCCCCCAGCCAGAAGTCGATGGGGCAGACATCTCTGCCACTGGTGCTGTTGCCTCCTCCGGTTTAGAAGGGGCTTTAATGGCTTCGCCAGCGCCCGCCTTATGGATCGGGACGTCTGGCGCACTTTCGTTACCCTAGAGAGTAACAGAAGGCGGTCATTGACTCAAACCTTCAGTCGTTATGTGGATACGACTACCTAAACACCAAGGGCGACATCGGGGGCTATCGACACCTAGAAGGAGCTCTATATAACCCCCAAGGTAAATAATAAAACCCAAACCCGTAATTTCAATAATAATATACACATAAATATCATAATATATACGAGATAACATGTAAACAATAAGGAAATCTCTATCACCACATTTTCATAATAAAATCGCATCAAAACGCCTGAAAGAAAGGAAGGTTCGGTACTTACGGCTTGTATTTCCGTCGTGGACATATTTCCAAGGAAGATTCCTAGGGGATGCACAATAAAACTCTGGATTTTGATGAATATTTATAAGCTCCGACAAAAAAATGCCACAAGAGAAAAGAGGACGGTTGGGACATGCGCAGTTCGTTTTATTAAAAGTGGTATCAAGACCCCTCGCCGCTCGAGATCTGCAACAGTATTGTGAAGATCAGTCGGAGAAGATGTGAAGGAAAATGGCCCCTTGTTCCCTCAAGATCCATGAAAGCGAACGGGAGGAATCCACAATCAACATACGAAAGAAGCTGTTGTAGGGGTCAGACTTTCTCCATGACCACGCAAAAGAATCAGTTGATCATGTCAGACTATTGATGTTGAGGAAGTATCCCTATTTGCAAGATGCCGATGTTATTTTGGACAAAAAGGGAATCGACCTATTAATTGGGCAAGATTCCAATCCTATTGAGGCAACTAGAGACGCGGTATGGGAAGCCAGATGAACCAGGTCATTCCAATTTTAAAGGAGGGGGATTATGAAACACCAAATGATAACCGTCTCGTTTCTCTGCTTCCTGTGGCCTCTAAGACCTGCGAGCGGGTGGCGCTCAACCAAGCGTACGCCGATGACAAAGGACTTGTTCGGTCAGCAAAAGTTATAACGAACAATGGAACAATTTTAGACCTGTTACCCTACCAAGCTTATTTTATTACTGCCACAGCAGTAGAGTGTTTATACTCGCCCAAACTGCGCTAGTCTGGAAGGAAGGATGTTTAGACGAATAATTAATCAGATTTAAATTAGGCTTATATAATATGTAGAGACATGACTTAAAGGTCAGAAAGCAAGAGATGGGAAAGTTGAATGTATGAGACATTAAACTAAAGTGAGAAACAAAATAAAACGTGAAAATGTTATTAGAAATTAGAAAATGTGACTGACAAGTTCTTAAAGTTATATCAGGGACACTAAGTTACATTTATTAATACATAATGACATTTACTTTTACTAATAAAACTAAAAGGAAGTCAACATAACTATGGGATTTGCTTTTGGGGAATTATGTAATAAGAAAAATTTAAAATAAAATTATAAAATCAAGTGATTGTGAAGTCTGAGGTTTTTGGAGGTGATTCCCCATGATTAGGATAAAAAAACCCTAAAGAACCATATGATAAGGAAAGACAGTGGTGTAACAAGAATGAAAACTAGGTGCTTGATATTTGGATGATAAACAACCACCCTCCGCCCCCGCCCAATTATTGTTCTAGCTATGCCCCTGAGTAAAAAAAAGCTTCTATCAATCGACCTTTTGCATAATAGACCAACTTTTAATTTAGGCAACTAAAAGGAAATTTCCGAAATGTGCATACTAAATTTAGAAAAATTACCAAGTTTGGCTGCAAAATATTGTAAAGTACGGAAAGCATGCATAGCAATGCGAAGTTGGCAATTTTGTATACTTTTTCACTACGGCCGGAAGTGAGTAAAAAAGTATACAAAATTGTCAAATTCGCATGGCTATATTTTCCGTAATACTGTCAGACATTTTACGGCCAAACTTGGAAATTATACCAATTTTGGTATGCTCTTTTTAGTTGTGGTAATTTATTTCCTTCTTATTGCCTAGATCGTAAGTTGGTCTGTTATGCAAAAGTTCCATTTACTAGACTTTAGTATTTTTATCTACATACATACATACATATATATATATATATATATATATATATATATATATATATATATATATATATATATATATATATATATATATATAACTTTTTAGATTAGATTCTAGAGGTTGAAAGGGTCTAAATTTCGAGTGGAATTATACACACTTCAAATTCAAGCAAGGAACAGTTGATGGAAAAACAAGTCAAGTGGGCAGTGGCAAGATTGCACCGGCATCCATCAACTGTTCCTGGCTTGAATTTGAAGTGTGTATAATTTCACTCAAAATTAAGACCTCTCGAATTTACCTACATTGAGTGAAGTGCCAATAATCATAATTTTTTTAAACTAAATAGATTAAGGATACCAGTAGCCTAAATTTGCCTACTTAGTACAATATGTTACTTACTTTTTGCCAGGAAGTTCAGCTTTAAGGACATTAAAGTATTTATAAGAGTTAAATGTTGCGCAAGAAAAGTCTTCATCCATTGGATTCCATGAATCAATTTTGTCTGTTTTTTCTGCATCTGGTAGGTTGGATTTTTGTACTGTGCTGAAATTAATGAAATTGATGTTTTTAGCACTTACAAGGTTTCATATGTCTTCAATCAGGGTGAGGTTGATTAAAGCCTCTCACCATAGGCGGCCCAAAATTGGCGGCGAAAACTTTTTCGGCAATTTGTGAATTACATTGACAAATTGCCGAAAAATTTTTCGGCCGCTAATTTTGGGCCGCCTATGCTCTCACTCACGCACTCATTGCAAAAACTAACTCGCAAGCTTGCTGCGGGTAATTTCGTTCAATCACAATGCTTGACAGCTCATTTTAATTAGATGCAAACACTTGCAGCGAGCTTGTGAGTTGATTTTGCTATGAGTGGAAAAGAGCCTTAAAATTATATGTTACCCTGGGCAGAGAATGTGCAGTTCTTCCAAAATTATTCGATACCCACTTAAAATGTATATAATAAGAGAAAATGGTTCCACAAATGCACACAAATGCAGTACTTTCACCAAGGTAGCTTTTATACTGTATGCTCACACTCTTCCAAGCCTTCTTTAATAATAGCTATAGAGTTGGATGAAAACTGCAGGGGGAAGAGATGTACATAACCTAAGGTTATCTAATAATTAAGAATAACTTGAAGGTATATTAGAGTGTCATAAAAACCTAATTGACTTGAGTACTAATAGATTTGAGTAATATAGAGCTAGATATGATCAACAATTACACCTGAGTTTCTTCGTCAAATATATTGAGGGGAGGCCCAGCTCAGCGCATTAAAGTTGAAGAATCATACTCTGTATAACTCATTTGGGAACAAAAAGCAAAGTGATTTGATGTGATTGTACTGTCCTATTCATATAACACTTTGTAGCTTTCAATATATCTCATAATTTTTTCAACCAACCAAATCATAAAATGCAGAGAGCCACATTTAGGAAAAAATCAGTTAATTTTACTCTTTCTTTGAGCAAAGTAGAATATAAACAATTGACTCCCAAATAGAATCAGAGTTTATATTATATTATTAGTTTGTGTAATTTTGTAATTTATTTGAGAAAGAGTGTAATTTTAGGGCAATTCATGTTTTGGTGGACCTATTTGGCTAAATAGCCACCCATGTTTTTACATAATCAACCATGACTCCCCAAAACATGTCCCACATTGAATATCTACACCAAAGTGACCAAACTGGTGTTCTCACTATGCCTAGTTATAAACAATCAATCCCGTGCTCACAATGAGGCTTTTTGATGATGATGCTATTTGTCCTCGCCGTGAACATGTTTCAGTTTTGAAGGAAGGTAAAATAATAGAGAGAATCGAAGAATTCATATCTGTGTCCGGACTGAACTAATGACGCAAGCGTGGTACTACGATAGGAAGGTTGTAAATTTTTTTTAAACGTTCTCCAGCTAAGCTTTTGCTAAGTATCAAAATTGTACCTCACTGCAAAAGGCAAATTCTCCAATTCCATGATCTTCTCTGATACCAAGTAATCAAATGAACGAATTTAGAAAACAGACTGACACTGTGAGTCTGTGATAAAACTGCACGCGTGTTGTGTTGTCCCACTGACCTATATAGTAATTCCTGGAGGACTTGCTCCTCCCACCACTGAGCTATATTAAATTCACTGAGCTATATAATAATTCCTGGAGGACCGGCTCCACAACCTCGCAAGCCAGGCTCTTTTACCTACGCTCCATGGCCCACGCTGCGGCAAAGACCCTGGTCAAGGCTGGTCACGTGATTCTTTTGTTACGCTTCTCCCGTGTGGGGATGGGTGGGACACAAGTAGCGCATAAATCACATCAGTTAAAACAACGTGTTTCTAAGGACTGAATATTGAGCGCTGTTGTACCGCAAAGCGAAATAACGTGTGTCGTTATTGTTATTTGACCTCTAAATTCGCTCATCAACGCCCAAATTTAGAAGATAGCACAGGCCTTCGAGTGTCTGTATTGAATATCAACTGAACTTGTGACGATACTAAAACCGATTCTATCGACGATGATATAGTCTACACATAGCACTTGAATCTAAATTCGGTTTATTGCTCTTTTGAGTTTTTTGCTGCGCCACACTAGCTGTATTTATTTAGTTTATTGCGTGAACCGCTATTTTTAGTTGCGTTAGTACAAAGTCATCTGGATTGTGACAAGTGCTAAAAATAGCAGAAATGGTATATCGACTTTGCCACTCCTCCCATGGATATAAACTAAGCGCTAATTAAAAACCTCCCATATTTTGGGAGGTCACATGACCAGCCTTGACCAGGGTCTTTGCCGCAGCGTGGGCCGTGGAGCGTAGGTAAAAGAGCCTGGCTTGCGAGGTTGCCGGCTCCAATGACCGTCTCCTAATGTTTTTTGCTCAAAAAGTGAAGCAAAAAACATAGCGGATTTTGGCCTCTGTGACGTCATTTTGACGTCACCTGGTCCCCTTTGCCCATGGTAATACCACTGACCAGGCTCAATTCTGAGCCCGCTATAGTAATTCCCCCCCTGGTTTTTATGAATATTTTGTTTCTTCCGACTGCCGCGAAACCTTGTTGTTCTGTTTTTTCGATATATTTTTTACCTAACCCGTAATAAAGCGTTTATTTCGGTTATGTACAAGTCATAGGTACTGTTTTTGCAAATGCCGAAACAAACAAATATTGGGCGAACATAAAAAATATTTAATACGTGGATAAAAGTCGAAAATTTTACATGTCTTTTATGGATACCAATCTGACTTTTCTTAAACCCTGAACTAAAAGATCACAGAAAGTATCCAGTTATGTTGTCCTGTGTCAATGCCTGTGCATATTAAATCCAAAGAAACAAGGCCTAAGCTCATGTAAGATATTGGGCTGCAGATTAGCAATTGTACTGAGTGGGGGATACAATAGTTATAACCAGAAGTGATATTTACATGGCATAGGTCATACCTTGTGCCTCAATGAGCTACAGACGATTTATTCGCTTTTTGTAATGCATCTTAGTTTAAACCTGTAAAGGTGTCCCTGTGTGACCTAAGAAAAGTCATTGATGCTTTCAGTCATGTATTTGATATGAAATTATACCTATTAGCAGGAGTAGTTCATAAGGTGATTTATGTTTAAAAAAATGCTTATAAAGGTTATGGTTGACTGATGTTTTCAATTTACAAAGTTAAAGATGGTAATATAGTCAGTATTGTAAGAAATTTTCAGTGGTGGTGTGCGAATTGGCTGCAAATAATATTGAGAATATGGCTTTTGGTAAAGGGTGTTCTGTAATAGTATCAGGGTAATGGTGCTGTAAGGAAAAGTTCAGAGTTGTAAGGGGAAAATTTTGGGTGGTGTTGCATCAACTATGTTTTGCTTTAGGATGAGCTGCGCATGCGCGATACCATACTATAGGCACAGATTAACACCCAGATGTCTCTGTTCTCATTAAAAAAGCTTAAGCGCTTGTTCAGCAAGTGACTAGAGGAATTCCCCTCCAAAAAATTCCAAAATGGAGCCGAACTATTTTATACATGGAAAAAAACCTCCTCTCATTTGCTAGCGAAAGGGACTGTGTACTAGTTTGTGTCTGAATCCATCATCATCTATACGCGCTTTGGAAAAGACTTAAGTGAGTTAAGAGTACCTCGTTTTCAATATTGTACGAGTATTTTATCTTTTTTCGATTGTCGTAGGAGCGAAAAATTATAATCCTCGTTTGACGGTATATTTTCCAACATATTTAATTAAAAAAGTGTGTGAATATCTTCACATTGACTGGCACTTCCTGTGATCTGGGTATTAATCTGTGCCATAAGTGGGCCCGTAGATATTATAAATAGAGAGGTTTAGCAGCGACTACGAGTACGACTACGAGTACGAAATTCGTCATTTTCACGCGTTATTTCTGCGCCATCAGCTAAAACTCGTAGTCGTTGGGCTTCGGGTACGAAATTTTTCAACAAACTCGTACCACAGATTAATCTGTAACAGGTTTTAATCTGTGCCCGTACTCAAAAGCCCAACGACTACGAGTTTTCAGTTTTGGCTGATGGCGTAAACAAACAACGCGCGAGAATGACGAATTTCGTACTCGTACTCGCTATTCGCTGCCAAAGCTCCCTAATAACACTAGAGGGGGCATCGAGGGAATTAGGAGAAATTGGGGAGCGCGTTAATGGGGCGCAAATCTAAGTCCCGGATGTTCACTCATTCACGATGTCCGAGGCCAAAATAAGTCGTTTTTAACGAGTTTTTTCCCGCTAAAATATCATTCCAGGATATCTAAGGCAAGGGCGTAGGAAGCATCCAGAGGTTGGGGGGGCACCAGCTTCTAGGGGCACTTTTGGTTAATAAAAATGGCGGCTAAAATGGTTAATAAAGATATACAGGGACGGTTTGATTCGTATTTCTTGGGCTTTGTACTGCTAGGGGGGTCCGGGGGCATGCTCCCCCGAGAAAATTTGAGATATAGGCCTCTGAAATGGCCACAAACCCCTCTTAATTTAGGGATTTTTGGGATATAGTAGATACTTTTTAGTTTCTTTTCGCTTCTCAAAAAGGCATTTTTTTCAAAAAAGGGCACTTTTGGTCCCTTGAAAAATCTTGGGGGGGGCACGTGCCCCCAATGCCCCCCCCCCTTCCTACGCCACTGATCTAAGGTAGTATAACCATTTCAAAAAAGCACTGTTTTTCCTTAAAAACCGAAAAAGCGACCTAAAAAACGAATATGAAATTTTTCAAAACATATTTTAGATGTCGCTAACGTGGTTGCTGAGGAGGCATCGATGTAGCCAATAGGCGCTGTCGCTTTGCCAAAGAATACGTATCACGGTATCATCCTTCCGTTATATGGCACATGGGTTGGCTTAGCATGCATGCATTTATTCTTTAGCTATATATTCTTTCAGTTCATGGATTCTGATCATTTAAATATGGAGAGCACAGTAGACTCAGATCTTGTTGACTGTGTTAATGAGGTGGGGAAAGATCTTAAACTAGTTGGTTCTCCAGAGACATCGAAGCCTGGGCTTCAGGGAGAAATTGTTGCATACATTCATAATGTCTCGCCGGTGAAGAAGGGAAATACTTTGATTGTGTTTTACAAACGAAGGAGACTGTCGTTCGTGGGGTTTGTTTCTCGCCTCCTAAGATGAAACGCTTTAAGGAAGCTTCTGCATGATAAAGCAACGCCAGTAAAGGTAAAGAAGTTTTGGATTGATACTACTTCAAACATGGAAGATGTTGTGATGGATTGGCATACAACTATTGAAGTAGCACCAGAAATCAACTTCCCTATATCCAAACTCAATTTTTTCAATTCGTTCAATTTGTCAACAGCATCCACATCATGTGTTGGCCACTTGATCACTGTCACTGCAAAAGTTGCACATCTGCATCCAGTCAAAAAAGTAAGCAGCAACGGAAGACAGCTTGAACTAAGAGAAGTTATGATTGTCGATCCATCCTCTACAATGAAGCTTGTGGTGTGGGAAGAATTTGTAAGTTCAGTCGAAGTCGGTTAGACATATTGTTTCCGAAATCTGCGAATCAAACGTGATAAGTTGACGAAAGAGATTTTTCTCAACACAGCCATGTCAGAAAGTGAAGTAAATGAATGTGAGCCATTCACTGAAGCATTGCCAATTGCACTTCAAACAAATCATAGTTCTCTAACTGGAGAAGTTGTTGGTGTTAGCTCAGTCAGTTATTACATGGGCTGTATTAAATGCAACAAAAAAGTTAACATTTCTGAAGGTTATGGATATTGTGATCCGTGTCGTCTTAAGTTGAAAGAAAAAGCTTGCAAGAGAAATTGCTATTGTCAGCTTTGTTTTGAAAGTGATGAAGAAAGTGTCATTGAGCTTACAGCATTTCAAGACATTATTTCGCAGGCATTTGAACTCTAAGGAAAAAATTTTACCCAAAAATCTGTAACCAAGGATGAAATTGAGGCATTATTCATGAGTTTACCCTCCTTGTTACATATTTCATATGATACAAATAAGAAAATTGCTCAAAGTATCGCTGTTTAGGCAAAACAATAAGACTAAATGAAGAAAACATTGAAGACAATTTGTTATGTTAGGTTGTTTATATGGGGTTATTCTTATGAGACTGTTATGTTGGTGGTATACATGTATATGCAATACTTTTATATTTGGCACATTTTGACTACTGTTAGTGTAAGTCTGGTATTTGATTAAAGTTGAGATAATTTGACATTCCATAAGTGTACATTTTTTGTGTTTTCAATTGGTGTTTTCATTCAATTGATCAGAATGAATGATGAGAATGAATCGAATGTTCCTTTTAATTAAAACTCATTCCCGTCCGGTGTAGATTAATTTCGGACGTTAGAGTCCGACTTTTTTAAAATTCCAATAGCTCTGCGAATTCGCGAGCAAAAAACACATAGATACCACCAAAATATAGCTCGAGAAAAATACTATAACCCAATCGCTTCTGTTTTAAATGGGGTTATGCAATAACCAAGGTTAACAACGAGGAAACCGGTCAGTGACGTCAGGTAACCACGTGACCGAATGGGAGGGGCGAGTGGAGGCAAGGTGCGGAGCAGAGCCCGCAG